AAACCGTGTTGTACACTGTAACGATGTATAGTGGCTAAATGTAAATTAAAAATTTTAAAAATAAAAAAAAATTTAAAAAGAATTCTATACTTTGCTTAAATTGGTAAAATGAGCAACCACTAAAAACTTCTCTATAAAGAGATATGCTCAAAAACATAGTTACAAAAAAAATTCTAAAATATGTTCAAGTAATCTAAAGGAAGAAGAAAAAGCACAAAATTAAAAGAGCATAAAGAAAACATAAAAAAGATATGGTCCTAATATAAATCATTAGAATTATCAATTACATATATAATTACATTAAATGCAGATATGTAATATACATTAAATATAAATGGTCTAAATATACCAACTGAAAGAGAATGGTAGAACAGAGAAAAAACAATAACCCCATGGAAATGGCTAACAAATATTATTATGGTTTACCAAGGAAATGCAAAGAAGCACCACAATGAGACATCATCACTTATCGACTACGATGGAACAAAAAAAAATTTTTGAGAGGTTTTTGCTATAGGGTGCATGCACTCACCAGAAAGACAGAGAGACAGTGAGATAGAAAGCAAGAAATCACCCCCTCAGGGGGGGTGGCCACGCCGCAATCTCTTCTCCTCCATTCTCCTCTCAGGATCTTGAGCACGCACGCACATGCGCCTGGAGTGAGTTTAAGCCACTGAGTCCAGGACTCGAACCACGGTCGACTACATGGGAGTCCAACGACATAGCCATTACACTAACTGCTGGTCCCAGGCACAATTTTTTTTTTTTAATAGCATATAAAATAACAAATGTTTGTAAAAATCAAAATCCTTTTACATTGTTGGTGGAAATGTAAAACAGGGTATCTATTGTGGGAAATAGTTTTATGCTTCCTCAAAAAATTAAACATTGCAGGGCCAGCAGTTGGCATAGTTGTTAAGGTGAACTACAGTCTGCAGTTCAGAGTCCCAGACCCAGTGGTTTAAATGACACTGGACATGAGTGTGTGTGTGCCCAAAATCATCCTGAGAGAATGGAGAAGGAATTGCAGAGTGGACATCCCCCCAGGGGGTGATTTCTCACTTTCCTTGTCTCTATGTATCTCACTCTCTCTCTCTTTCTCACACAAGCGTATGTGCCCTATGGCAAAAAACATTAAAAAAATAATAATAATTAAGCATTGAATTACTAAGTGATCAAGTAATTCCAACCTTAAGTATATGACCAAATGTACTAAAAGAATTATTTAAATAAATACTTAAAACAAAAATAAGAACTTATTACCTTTTTCAAAGAATTATTCAGTTAGGGACCAACAGTTGGCATAATGGCTATGTTGCTGAACTCCCATGTGATGTGGTCGACTGCGGTTCAAGTCCCAGACCCGGTGGCTTAGACTCACGCTGGGCGCATGTGCATGCATACCCAAGATCCTGAGAGGAGAATGGAGGAGAAAAGACTGTGGCGTGGCCATTCCCCTAAGGGGCGATTTCTTGCTTTCTGTCTCTTTGTCTCTCTCTGTTTTTCTGGTGAGCACACATGCCCTATAGCAAAAGCCTCTCCGGAAAAAAAAGAATTATTCATTTACTTAATTCCATTCATTATTATTATTTTTTGATTTGACCAGACAGAGACAGAAAGAGAAAAAGGGAAAGCAAAAAAGTAAGCCACCAGGTCCAGTACTTGAAGCACGGTCAGCCATGTGGGAATCTAGCACCCACAACCATGATACCACCTGATGGCCCCATGAACTTGTTACCTTCTAACATACTATTTACAGAGTTTTATATTTACTGGGTTTTGTCTGTTATCTGCCCTTCACCGAGGCAGGGGTAAGAGTTTTTATCAGATTTATTTAGTACTGCATTCCAAAAGCCTAAAACAATACATGGTACACACAGGTACTCAATAAATATTTGTTGAATAGATAGAATAAATGAATGAATGAATACAACAGGCATATCAAAATTTGTCAAATTTAATTTTTTTTTCTTTTTAGGGTTTGTTTTATATTGTTTGCTATAGGGTGCATGCGTACACTGGAGAGAGACAGAGAGAGAGAAAGGAAAGGAGAAAAAACAGGGGAGAGGGCCACATCAGAATTTCTTCTCTTCTATTCTCTTCTTGGGATTTTGGACATGCATACACACATGCCCAGTATGTTTTTCAAGCAATTGGGTGTGGGACGCAAAATGCAGAGTAAGCCATGTGAGATCCAGCACCTTAACTACCACACCTCCTGCTGGTCCATCAAATTTAATTTTCGTAAATCTCAGCAATACAATAAAAAATGAATTCTGTTACAAATAAATAAATTTTCACAAGTCTTGATATCTGTATACACATGATTCCATTTTCTCTGTGTAACAGCCCTCTTCACTCCTGACACCCTTTCCTCTACTCACAAACTGCCAAATTCCAACTAAATATTCAGAACTACTTCATCTTCCAAAAAAGTCTTTCTTGTTCACTGAAGTTTTCTTTGGTGCTCCTGCGATGTTTTCTCCTGGAGCATCTGTTTGTTTTTCCTCACAGCCTTGTCACATGTATTGTGATGACTATTTGTTTATCTGATTCCCAGACCAAAATGTGCGCTTTTTTTTTTTTTTGATTAAACCAATTTTATTTTTTTTTCCATCCAGAATACATTGTATATTGGCTCAGTCAAGCACATCAACATACGTGTTATCAACAAATAATTTTCCATTTCTTATGTCTTGTATATTTTGCTTCTTTTTTTTTTTTTGCCATCCTTGATTCCCTATCCCTCCCCCTCTGCTGTGTCCCACTCTTCTCCCACATTGTCTCTGGCATCCATGGTTGCTTTCTATGCCTTTCCCCCCATTTAATTAATCTGCTAATGAACTTAGTCTAAATATTTGCAATAGCAAGCACAGCTGATATATACATAAAAATGTGAGCTTCGCATTCTTTTTCATAATTCCCTTATTGCACATAATACACATCGCAAACCACAGGTTCTGCACAGATGTTTTGTGTGTAAATGAACCATTTTTTAAAATCTGCAAAACTAAATAATGAATCACAGAAACTTACCTGTTATTTGTTTCCTTAGTTTTTCAATTTCTTCTTTTAAGTTTTTTATTTCTAAATCTTTGCTTGCTGTTAGTGGACCATCAACAGTTGAATACTGCAGAGCTTGGACAGTCTGTGTTGACTCTTAAAAAAAAAAAAAAAGAGAGAGTAAAGAATGAAAAGTATCTACATATTTTGGGACCAGCAGTTAGCATAATGGCTATGTTGCTGGACTTCCACATAGTCAACCGCGGTTTGCGTCCCGGACCCAGTGGCTTAAAAAAACTCATGCCCGGCGCGTGTGCGTGCGTGCCCAAGATCCTGAGAGGAGAATGGAGGAGAAGGGATCGCAGCGTGGCCATCCTCCCTGGGGGGTGATTTCTCACTTTCTGTCTCTCTGGCAAGCGCATGCGCCCTATAGTATAAACCTCTCTCTTTGTCTCTCTCTGTTTTTCTGGTGAGCACACATGCCCTATAGCAAAAGCCTCTCCGGAAAAAAAAGAATTATTCATTTACTTAATTCCATTCATTATTATTATTTTTTGATTTGACCAGACAGAGACAGAAAGAGAAAAAGGGAAAGCAAAAAAGTAAGCCACCAGGTCCAGTACTTGAAGCACGGTCAGCCATGTGGGAATCTAGCACCCACAACCATGATACCACCTGATGGCCCCATGAACTTGTTACCTTCTAACATACTATTTACAGAGTTTTATATTTACTGGGTTTTGTCTGTTATCTGCCCTTCACCGAGGCAGGGGTAAGAGTTTTTATCAGATTTATTTAGTACTGCATTCCAAAAGCCTAAAACAATACATGGTACACACAGGTACTCAATAAATATTTGTTGAATAGATAGAATAAATGAATGAATGAATACAACAGGCATATCAAAATTTGTCAAATTTAATTTTTTTTTCTTTTTAGGGTTTGTTTTATATTGTTTGCTATAGGGTGCATGCGTACACTGGAGAGAGACAGAGAGAGAGAAAGGAAAGGAGAAAAAACAGGGGAGAGGGCCACATCAGAATTTCTTCTCTTCTATTCTCTTCTTGGGATTTTGGACATGCATACACACATGCCCAGTATGTTTTTCAAGCAATTGGGTGTGGGACGCAAAATGCAGAGTAAGCCATGTGAGATCCAGCACCTTAACTACCACACCTCCTGCTGGTCCATCAAATTTAATTTTCGTAAATCTCAGCAATACAATAAAAAATGAATTCTGTTACAAATAAATAAATTTTCACAAGTCTTGATATCTGTATACACATGATTCCATTTTCTCTGTGTAACAGCCCTCTTCACTCCTGACACCCTTTCCTCTACTCACAAACTGCCAAATTCCAACTAAATATTCAGAACTACTTCATCTTCCAAAAAAGTCTTTCTTGTTCACTGAAGTTTTCTTTGGTGCTCCTGCGATGTTTTCTCCTGGAGCATCTGTTTGTTTTTCCTCACAGCCTTGTCACATGTATTGTGATGACTATTTGTTTATCTGATTCCCAGACCAAAATGTGCGCTTTTTTTTTTTTTTGATTAAACCAATTTTATTTTTTTTTCCATCCAGAATACATTGTATATTGGCTCAGTCAAGCACATCAACATACGTGTTATCAACAAATAATTTTCCATTTCTTATGTCTTGTATATTTTGCTTCTTTTTTTTTTTTTGCCATCCTTGATTCCCTATCCCTCACCCTCTGCTGTGTCCCACTCTTCTCCCACATTGTCTCTGGCATCCATGGTTGCTTTCTATGCCTTTCCCCCCATTTAATTAATCTGCTAATGAACTTAGTCTAAATATTTGCAATAGCAAGCACAGCTGATATATACATAAAAATGTGAGCTTCGCATTCTTTTTCATAATTCCCTTATTGCACATAATACACATCGCAAACCACAGGTTCTGCACAGATGTTTTGTGTGTAAATGAACCATTTTTTAAAATCTGCAAAACTAAATAATGAATCACAGAAACTTACCTGTTATTTGTTTCCTTAGTTTTTCAATTTCTTCTTTTAAGTTTTTTATTTCTAAATCTTTGCTTGCTGTTAGTGGACCATCAACAGTTGAATACTGCAGAGCTTGGACAGTCTGTGTTGACTCTTAAAAAAAAAAAAAAAGAGAGAGTAAAGAATGAAAAGTATCTACATATTTTGGGACCAGCAGTTAGCATAATGGCTATGTTGCTGGACTTCCACATAGTCAACCGCGGTTTGCGTCCCGGACCCAGTGGCTTAAAAAAACTCATGCCCGGCGCGTGTGCGTGCGTGCCCAAGATCCTGAGAGGAGAATGGAGGAGAAGGGATCGCAGCGTGGCCATCCTCCCTGGGGGGTGATTTCTCACTTTCTGTCTCTCTGGCAAGCGCATGCGCCCTATAGTATAAACCTCTCAAAAAAAAAAAAAAAAAAAAAAAAAAACTACATACTTTAAATTTTTAGAACTAAAAACAATACTCTTTATACTAAAATCATTATATAATCCTAAAGACCACAACATCTACCCACAGGAAAAAAGTAGACAAACATATCAAAATCAAGTCATGAAAATTCCACTGCACATCATTAATATTAATAACATAGTAAATAGTCTACCTTCTAATACATAAGATTTGGGGTTTTAAATATTGCTAGTGTAATGTCAGTGAATCAACTATTCAGCCCCTTTTGTCCTAGCAAAGAGCACCACCATGTGATAACTCAAAAACATCATATGTAAGATGCTATATGAAGAGCTGATTCTGGTGCATGAAACAAGGTTTAGACATATTAATATAAAATATATAAAAGTGCAAGACTCCCAAATTATATATAAGAAAGTTGAGGTCCATTTACAGATGTCTTTGCCTCATCAATTTAGCTAAAAATCGACTTTGGCTCATCAATTTAGTTAAAAAACATTTACTTAAAATAGAGATTATCAACATATCTTCCATCTCTAATAAAAAGATGCATAATATTAAAGAAATATTAACTCTATTGAAGTTTATTCCTAGGTATCATCAAAAGATAAGGGAAAAAAGAAAACTTTAAACCCATTTTATGGCAGAAATTAAACTATCCTTTTTAGTTAAGACACTAGAGAGTTTTCACAGAAAATTATAAGCAAGAAATAATGGAGGATTTGTATGAAACTAAGTTAACAAGTATATCTTACTACTGTGGATAGGTAAATAAGTCAGGGTGGTGAACAAGATCACTGAAGGTAAAGAATTGAGAATTGGGTCAGAATCATATAAATTTCACCTATGTGCATCTGCAGTGGAGAGACAACAGAAAGAAGGTGCACACACCAGAGAGAGAGAGAGAGAGACAGAGAAAGAGAGAGAGAAAGAGAGAGAGAAACACACAGAGAGAGAGACAGAGAGAGAGAGGAAGAAGAGGAAAAAAGCACCTCTCAATGAGGCCTGGTCTCGCCACAATTCTTTTTCCCTCCCTTCTCCATCCTATCAGGATTCTGACCCACACAAGCATGCCTTTCAAGCCATCAAAGTTGGGATTCAAACTTCAGTGAGCTGTGCAGACTCTGCACAGCACTTAAATACTACATTATAGGGCTAGCCCATCTATGTGCATTTTTAAATCACGAACTATTACGATAGGATAACAGTGTAAAAGAAATAAGAATTACTAACGATTGAACAAACATGATATGGGAAGTCACTGAAGTGTTATATTGGAGTGAAAGGATTCCTTTTTCCCTGGTAGTCCATTCCCCTCACTCCTCAGAAATATTTCTCATACATTTGCATATGTATATACACATGGGAAACAAAAGCAATTTTGTTGTTGTTTACTTTTAATTGTCTGATTTTACATAAATGATACTATACTATGTTCTATATAAATTTCTTTTTTTTTTTTAAGAATTATTTTATTTATTTATTTAGTAATTTTAATTTGACCAGAGAGGGACAGAATGAGAGAGAAAAAGTAAGAAAGCAAGTCACCAGGTCCAGGACTTGAACCATAGTCAGCTATATGAGAGTCCAGTGCTCTTAACCACCATGCCACCTGCTGGCCCCTTTGCATAAATTTCTACAACTTGGTTTCTTACCACTTAGTAAAAGAATTTCTTTTCTTTCTTTTTATTTATTTATTTATTTATTTTTATTTTTAGAGGTTTTTGCATTAAGGTACATGTGCTCACCAGAGAGACAGAGACAATGAGAGGGAAAGTGAGTATCCATCCCCCAAGGGGATGGTCACACAGCAATCCCTTCTCCATTCTCCTCCTGGGATATTGGGCACACATGCACACACTCTGTAGGAATTTCAAGCCACCAGATCTGGGACTTGAACCGTGGTTGGCCATGTGGAAACCCAGTGACATAACCGCTATGCCATCTGCTAGCCCCAAAATTTCTTTGGAAGATAAAAGCACTTTTAATAAACCATTTATAACACTGTAAATTCTACTTCAAAAAGGGAAAATGTTATCTTTAAAATATATTTACCTTGAAGCTTTCTACTCAGCTCAAGTTTTTCCTGTTCAAGGCGCTTAATTCTTCTTTCGTAAGCTTCAGTTGCTAAGTTATTATCTAGAGTCCTCTGAACATTAACATCAAGATCCAGTGAAGTAGGACCAGCCGTAACTCTTAAACAGCTCCGGTCAGAAAGAACACTGAAGGGAAAAAAAAAAGTATAGGTTCACACACAAAGTTTGTAGGCAAAAAAAAAAGAAAGAAAGAAAAAAACTTTTTAAATTGTTCATTTAAAATACTGATTTGAATATCTAGCTACAGTTAGACATCTATTGATAGAATGATTGTGCAAAGAACAATTTTTGCAAAATCACTGTCAACTACTTTTTTTTAAAGAATTATTTTATTTAACTTTATTTATTTATTTTAATTTGAGCAGAAGGGGGTTAGTTTAGAAAGCAAGCCTCCAGATCTGAGACGTGAACTGCGGTCAGCCATGTGGGAGTCCAATGCCCTTAATCACCAGGCCACCTGCCGTCAACTAATTTTTAAAGTATTTTTAAAATAGAAACTTAAATCTCTCAAATTATTTTGAATTTTTTTAAAGAATTATTTTTAACTTTATTTGCTATTATTATTTTTAAATTTGATCAGAGAGCGAGGGAAAGTGAGAAAGCAAGCCACCAGGTCCAGGACTTGAACTGTGGTTGGCCACAAGAGAGTCCAGTGCCTTTAACCACCACACCACTTGCTGGCCCCCTTATTTTGAATTTTTAAAAGATATCAACACATAAAATGAATTATGCTAAAAGGTTTTTGGTAGTTTAATACAATTTGATCACTTGAGTAACAATAGTCAAAAGCACTTGGCCAACTCCTTCCATTCCCTTCTCTCTGCTCTAGTACACCACCTGGTTTTATGTCATTCATTTTCCCTTTCTGTGTCATCTGATCACTTCTATCACCTTACAAATTTGCAGTTCTTTCTCTTATCTTAAAGTCATGTACCTGCAATTCCAACAACTTTTGAAGCAAAGGCAGAAGGATTGCAAGCTCAAGGCTGACCTGAGCAAAGTACCAAGATCCTATTAAAAAAAAAAAAAAAAAAAAAAAAAAAACCTCGGGGGTAACCCATGCTGCAAGGAAATGTGCCCAGCAGGAGGCCGAGGAGGAAAAGTGAAGAAAAAGTCAGTGGCAAAAATAGTAAAATTAATGTGTTGAAAGTTCTGCTGCTTGACACCTAGAAATTATTATGGAACACTTCTAATTCTGCCCCACTGCTAAGAGTTGGATGCTGAGCTACTTGTCCTA